ACATCAGTATGTTTAACAATATACCAGCCAAGTAATGTGATTTCAATAAAGTCACAGTGCTCAGAGGGCTGAGCACAGTCAGTTCTAGTTCTAATTATATCAGCATCTGTAGTCATACAGATGGCTAAAGGAATATTTCCAGAGATCATACTGGGCCTTTAAACACGTGCTTAGGGGATAAGGGAGGCGTTTTAATTATAGCGGCTCCAAGAGCCACTTTAATTAAAGTGCCCATAGTATCACATGTACTGGCATCCCTGTGCTTCAAAATGGTTTTAAAGTGCTCCCGCCACCATTTTGAAGCATGGGGACACTGATACATGAGATGTGAAAGCTGCTGAAGGTGTGCTAATTAGCATGCTCCAGCAGACTCAATTAATCAAGTCTGCTCCAATGCACTGTAATTACAGTGCATCAGAGCAGCCTCTCTGCATGTCTACAGACACACACAGTTTTTAGCAAGGTACTTGAAATTGCATTCATACTAGCTGATTCCAGTGAAAAGAGGCAACATGATTTAATTACTTCAAACATTTGTTATTCTTTGTCATACATTTTACACTACCACTTGAAAATGTGTATTGCTGTTATAGTTCCAAGTAATTAAAAGTAGCCGGCAGAAGCCAAAACTGAGCACTCAAGTTTCTGAATGCACAATTTTGGACACTCTCATATCTGTGTTCTCAAAAATTCAGATTGGCATGTGGAAACAAAGAAGAGTTGCTCCTGAATCCTGAGAAAGAATGTGTTCAGCAATCCATTCTGAGAGGCTGGAAAAGGAGTGAGTACACGCTTCATGAGTTCTGGGTACAGTCTGTAGTCCTTATGCATGCTTCCTGTATGACCTTGTGCCAGTTTCAGAGCTAGAGTGCCCCACTTTAAAATCAGGATAATTAATTATTTATATTACCCTAGAGATAAGGGAGCCAGGGTTTGATTCCCTGTCCCATCATAGATTTCCTGTGTGACCTTAAGCAAGTCATGTACCCATCCAATCTCCAAAAGGACTTGGGTGCCTAAAATGGGACTTGGGTGGAATTCAGGCAGGGATGGAGTCACTCTTCACCATTTCTATTGAAACAGTGCAGCAACGAATTCAACCTTCACTGGGTAAATAAATGGGACCATGACTCTCCATCTTAGTGGCTAGGGCATTTGCCTGGGAGGCATGAGTTTAAGGTTCCAGTCCCTGGTTCTAATGCCATTTATGTATTTATCAAATGATTCTTTTGTGTAAAATGCATGGACAATCCTGTACCAGAAACCAGAACTCAAGTCTCCCCACAACTAATAAATTCATTGACTGTGGTCTACACAGTTGGATATGTAAAAATCTGGCTGATGGGGCGCACCCAGAGAGTAGTGGTGGATGGGTCGTACTCAGCCTGGTGAGATGTGAGCAGTGGGGTAACCCAGGGCTCAGTCTTCAGGCCCACACTGTTTAACATCTTCATCAGCGACTTGGATGAGGGGGTTGAAAGCACATTGTCCAAGTTTGCTGACGACACTACGATGTGGGGTGAGGTGGGCACACTTGAAGGGAGAGAGAGGCTGCAACTAGATTTAGACAGACTACAAAAGTGGGCAGATGAGAATAGGATGGGGTTCAGCGTAGATAAATGAAGGGTGCTGCGCCTTGGGAGAAGGAATCCACAGCATACATACAGGCTGGGGAGTTCCCCTCTTGAAAGCACCGAGGCAGAAAGGGATCTTGGAGTCATTACTGACTCCAAGATGAACATGAGCTGCCAATGCCAGACCACAGCCAGCAAGGCCAGCCATACCTTGTTATGCATCCAAAGATGCATCACAAGCCTGTCCAGAGAGGCGATATTCCCCCTCTATGTGACATTGGTCAGGCTGCAATTGGAGTACTGTGTCCAGTACTGGGCGCCACACTTTAAAAAGGATGTCGCCAGCCTGGAGAGAGTTCAGAGGAGGGCCATGCATTTGGTGAGAGGGCAGCAAGACAGGCCCTGTGAGGACAGACTGAGGGACCTGAACCTCAGCAAGAGGAGGGACATGAATCTTGGCAAGAGAAGGCTGAGGGGGGACCTGGTGGCTGCCTACAGACTCATCAGGGGAGATCATCAGCAAATAGGAAGAGCCCTATTCTCCCCAGCACCACCTGGCGTGATGAGGAACAATGGTAATAAGCTGATGGAGAATAGGTTTAGGGTAGAGATCAGAAGACAATATTTTTACAGTTAGGGTGGCCAGAATCTGGAACTAACTTTCTAGGGAAGTGGTCCTCACCCCTACCTTGGGCAAATTTAAAAAGAGGTTAGATGATCA